AACAAGTTGAAGTTAAGATTAGATAGTTGCAAAGTGGGAATTGAATTTTTAAGAGAAACACCTCAGAAACATTTCTTTTAAAAATGTACTGTTGGGGCAGCTAGGTGGCACAGTGGATAGAGCACTGACCCTGGAGTCAGGAAGACCTGAGTTCAAATCTGACCTCAGACACATAACACGTATTAGCTATGTGACTCTGGGCAAGTCACTTGACCCCAGTGGCCTCACCAAAAAGCAAAAAAATAAAAATGTACTGTCCTTCATATATATTCATTAATCATTGTCACTAATAAACCTGCTTTTCTAAATTACCTCTAAGTTTTCCAGAAACTCTAAGTCAACCGGTATTTGTTCAAGTGCTCACTTTTATTATTCAGGAATTTCTCCTGGTGTCCTATGAAGCCTGTCTTTGTTTGAAGAGGCAGCTTTTGCGCTTCTCCATGACCTCATTTCATCTCCCAGGCTTCTTGTAGAGGCAATTTGTCCGGAAGTAGTGTGGGTAGATAGCTAAGTGATTCTTATAGGTCACAGAGATTTTCAATTAATTCTTGGTGACTTTCTGGCATTTCCGGAGTTAAAATACTAACCTTGTGTATAATGATAGGAGAGAGCATATACCTATGGGCTAATGTGATTCTTGCATGACTCATTGCATTTTAAAAACATTTCCCCTCTCTTTCTTCATTAGAAATACTACTGATGTTTAACCTACTTAAAGTGTCCCGAAAAAAGAGCAAAAGAGTATGCTGAAGGCAAACTAGGTTAGCGAGAAAGGACAGTGGGCTGGGAGTCAGTAGATGTGAATGCAGATTCTGATGGGCTGCTGAATTTAAAGTTAGATTATTGTGAGGAAAGTGCTTTAGAACTGGCTTATTGTGGTCATTAACAGTTGGGGCACTGATTACTTCTGAGGTGGTTGTGGAAAAAGCATTTGTCCTACTGTGAAGTGCTGTGTGAGTTTGAGCTGTTATTATTGAAACATCAGTCTCAGCATTGTCATTATGATCTAAAAGGTGTCGAGGAGACAAGGCTGGGTGATACTTTCAGCAGAGTTATCCACTTTGCTCAGTAGGTGTCACAGAGGAGAAGAGAGTGTTAGGTCTTAGCTCCAGTCTTACTGCAAGTGAGCTCATGGCCTTTTAGAATTAGGAATCTGATTTTCTGTTCTCTTTCTCAAGCAGTCTTTCTCACTACCAGTAGTTTTATTTTGGGTTCTAAAAATCTTAATTTCTCATTCAGCCGGTTTGTCACAAAGTGAAGAAAATAGTTGTCTTCCATCACTTCCCTTATTTATTTTGGATTATGGGTGAACGGAACGTAGACCCTGAAAAGGAAAGCTGTAATTCGGCATAGCAGTGGTTTGGGAAAATCAGGTGTTCTGGGTGCGTTAGTGCTGCAGCCTGCCTAAAAGAGAGGAGCCTGGGAAGGCTGCTTGGTGGCATTTCAGATGTCTGGATCCTGGGGTACTGGTGAGATTCAGTTGTAAGTATGTGATGGATGAGCACAGTTTCTACCCCCCCCCCCCCCCCCCCCCCCTTTAGCCTTGCAGATGGTGGGCGTTACATCTTAAAAGCTCATTTTTCAGTGTTGTAAAATTCCTCATAAAAGACATTTTAATGAGTTTCTTCTTGGAGTCATTTTTATCACTGTTTCTTGGTGCTCAGTGGATTTTCTGCTGTTTCTCCAGTTGCTTTTGATGGACTACATCCTCCATCCCTGCTCTTCCCACTATCTTGAGATACTTATTTTGTGTGTTTGTGGCTCATTTTGTCAACTTTGACAACACTATGGAGAAGAGAGCCACCATAATATGCATTATTCAAAATGTGACCTGATTAGGAAAGTCTCACTTCTCCCATTTCTGTACACTGCATTTCTACCGATGGATCTGAAAATGTCATTAGCTTTTTTGATTATCAGCATTGCAGTGCCCAGGTCACATTCATGGAAATAGAAGTTTACAAAGTGCTCTCCTCACAACAGCCCTGTGAAGTAGGTAGTATAAGAATTGTTATCTCCATTTTACAGATGAAGAAAATGAGACCCAGGATGAGTGACTTGCCTAGCATCACTTAGGAAGTGTTAGGACTGGGGCTTCAACCCAGATCCTCTGACCTTGCAATCCAGTGTTCTTTCCACTAACTCTGGGCACCACATTTTAGGAAGGATATTTTAGAAATTAAGCTGGAGAGTATCCAAAAGAGGGTGACCAAGATGGCAAGGCACCTCAAAACTAGTCCATCAGGGGCACTTTGAATGAACTGGAAACATTTAGCCAGGAGAAGAGAAGGCATGGTAGGGCTTGGTCACCATCTTCAGATATTTGTAAGGCTGCTGTGTAGATGGGGATTAGGGTTGTTCTGTTTGGTCTTAGAAAGCAAAACAGGGGTGCAAATCTCAGCGTTGCCTAAGGAGCAGCTTCTTCCCTATGAGAGCAGTGCAAGGTGTAGAGATTGGCTCTCGTCAAGTTGAGACGTGGCTGGTGGTCTGGAGGGAATCCATGTGCCCAGTGGCTGGAGTGTTGAATTGGAATCAGACCTTCTGAGGGCTCTTTCTTTCTCTTCTGTTTTCAGATGTGTTGTCAAGGTGGGAAAAGAAAGAAACTCAAAGCTTTCATTGGAAACAGTTGAGTCATTGGAGGCTCATTTATAGCACTGCCTTTACCACCTACCCTTGGCTTTCATTTTTGGGGAGGGAAAGGTTCAGACTAGACCAGCACAAGATAACCTCCTTGAAGACAGTGGCTCTCTTCTGTAAGTCTGAGGACATGTCACATGAGGGTGGAGCAGAGGTGTGGGGGTGCTCTTGGCCTGGAGATGAAGAGATTTCAGGGGGCCTCAGGCACAAATTACCTCACCTCTTCAGGCCTTGGTTTCCTCACCTGTAAAATGAGGAATGCCCTCATTTTCATTACATTGGAGAATATAATTTAATTCATGTAATGTAATTTAATAATTTAATATAATTTTTTAACACTGGAAAATGTACTCTTTAAGATGTTACACCCACCACCTGCAAGACTAGCAGTAGGGAGGAGGGAGGAGGAAAATGTGCTCGTGGCCTCAGTGGCCTCTGGAGTGACTTCCAGCCCTAGAGCCAGAAGCCTCTGGTGTGATAGCAGTGGAAAGGGGATGACATTTTGTTCTGTTTGGCTGTAGAGGGCAGAACTGGGAACAGAACAGTGGGTGGAAGTGACAAGAAGGCGAATTGAGGCTTAGATTCAGGAGAGACTTCCTGACACTTAGAGCTGCCCAAAAAGAGGTTGGGGATTCCCCCCACTTCTCAGGTATGTGCTAGTGGGGATCCTTTTCACATTAGGATTGATGGTCTCTAAGAACACTTCCAGCTGCAAAACTGGATGATGCTCTGACTTAGCACAACTTTGGGCACTTATTGAATTGAATATTTTTAAAAATTAACTTCTTTTTCAATTAACCAAAACCCTATTTTTTTCTCCCTCCTTCCATCCCTATTGAAAAAGAAAGAAAAACAAAACCCTTATTACAAATCCATATGGTCAAAGACAGCAAATTACTGCGTCGTCCACTAAAGTGTCTTGGTCTGTACCCTGAATACCCTGCCTTTGGGCAGGAAGAGGGCAGCGTGCCTTGGCATGAATCTTCTTGCCCAGCTTCAGTTGTTCAGGTGTGAACCTCCCGTTTTGTGGCTAATCCAGGGGCCTGGCTTTTGCTTGTCCGTGCTGACCATGATTTAGCCCTTTCCTTGCTTGTCATTGAACTCCATCAGCAGCTCAGCTAAGAGAATTGTTGGGGGAGAAGGCTGAAGCTATTGACTTAAGCATCACTCCCCAGTGACACAGCAATGTCATTTGCCAGAAGCAACGGGGAGAGAGGAGATTCAGAAACGAGCATTTTTAGTTTCCAAACAAGAACCATATAGTGGAGCAAGGCTTCTTATCCTGGAGTCTGTGAACTTGTTTTTTTAAAAAATATTTTTACATTGTAATATTTTTATTGTATTATAAAGTATAATATAAATTATATTGTACATTACCATATGTTATGTCACATCATAATACATAATACACATATTGTATTATATTCTAAATACTTATGAACATATTTTTATTAAAATATTTTATATTATATTCAATGTATAAATATTTGTATGGCACAATATTTAATGTGTTAATATTTATATATCATATAATTGGTTTCTTTTCGAATCCTGTGTATTTCATTTTGTGCACTTAAAAACCATTATTGTGAGAAGGGGTCCCTTGGCTTCACCAGACTGCCAGAGGGGTCCCTGACACAGCAAAGGGGATGAACTCCTGGTTTAGAGCCAGTGTCTGGGGGCTGATCCTTCTGTTGTGATGGAAGGTGCCCTGCTCAGGGCCTGGAGAGTGAGGTTTGAGTCTCAGTTCGGTTGCAAAGGCCCTCAACCCCATTGGTGCCTCCGTTTGCTCATCTGCCTCTTGTTTCTCTCAGTGCCTGCTGGGCTTCCCTCATAGAGTAGTCTCGAGAACAGCATTGGGTGGTTTGGAAAAGGACTCCCTTGAAGAAATAAAGGGACGGGTTTTTGCAGGATGGGAGTTGTCTTGCTCTTGTGAGTGTCTGTCGTCATGTGCTGGGGTCGTTTGAACTCTACTCACTTTTGTGTGTATGTGTGTGTGGGGCGGGGTGCCGTGTGTCTGCTCTCCTCACATGCCTGCCGTGCTGCCTGGCCCCCTCGGACGTTGGGCTCTGCCTGGGCCTGGGGTCCTGCGCGGCTGTCTCTGGCAGTGCTGTTCATGCTTCAGTTTGGGGCGTGAAGGAGGGAATGAGGGCTTCATTGTTCTCTCTCCGGTGGCTGTGCCAACCTCAACCTCTCCATTCATTCTGGTGTTTTTCTCCTGGGGAGCCTCCCAAAGAGGTTTCTGTGTGGCCGCAGGGGTCTGTAATTTGGGAATGTTTGGTGGCCCCTGACTTGTTCCCTGCCTCGGGGGTCAGCTTTAGCGAACTTTCCTCTAAGCTGAGCTGGCTGTTTCTCTATTTCAGCAACAACGCACAGTGTATCGCCTGACGCTGGTGAAGGCCTGGAACGTGGATGAACTCCGAGCCTACGTGGAGCTCGTGTCCCTGGGGGAGCCAGACTTCATCGAGGTGAAGGTAAGCCCCCCATCAGGCAGCCTTGGGCTTTTATCCTGAGTCTGTGGTGGAGTGCTTGGTGCTGGAAAGGGGCCAGGTGCTCCCAGACTGCATGTCCTCATCCCCGGCCTGCCTAGTGTTTGGTGATGTCACCCAGAGAGTTCTCAGGTGGCAGGTGCAGCGTCTCCCTCCTGAAGGCTGGAGATGATGGGGAACGAGGCACCTCTGACCTAAGCAGTCGCCGTTTTGGCCTCTGAAGTGGAGGCTTCATCCCAGGAATTGCTCCCAGATACCGATGCTCCAGAGTTTAACAGATGGAGCCTTTTGGACTGTCATCCTTGGGGGCAGAGCGGCAAGGGGGTGGTCACCTGATTGCCTTCAATGTCTTTCACGCCATCTTGCCCCAGGGCAGGAGGATGGTGCCTTCTCCCTTAGAGAGGGCTCTTGGGACTTCTCTTGTCCTGTAGAATCCTGAGTTCTTTATTTCCTTCCTATCAGTCAGTCAGTCAATAAGCATTTATTAAGTACTTATTATGGGCCAGGCACCATGTAAGCAGTGAGGACACAAAGAAGGGCAAAACCGCTGCTCCTGTCCTTAAGGAGCTCAGATCTAATGGAGTGGACAGAAGGTGAAGACGTACACACACACACACACACGCACGCACACATGTGTGCATATATATGTGCATACATACACATATATAAGATACAAATACACATATACATACACATGCATATGCATATACATACACACATATGTACATACAAATGTGTGTGTGTGTGTGTGTGTGTGTAAATGACAATGTACAGCATCGATGGAGGGTAATCGATGGAGGCCCTAGCAGGGGAGGCAGACACACTTACCAGAGATGGAGAGACCAGGAAAGGCCTCCTACATAGGCTGGAATTGGAGGAAAGCTGAGGCGAAGGGAAGGACGGAGGATATTCCCAGCCTTGGAGCGGGAAGATGGAGCCTCATGAGAGTGGGACAGCAGAGGTCAGTGTGGCTGGTTCACAGGGAGCATGGGAGGAAGCAAAGTATCAGAAAACTGTAGAGTGGGAAAGGGCCCAGCTTGTGAAGGGTTTTAAATGCCAAAGAGAGGCCTTTATATTGGAAAATGAATGGAATTTCAAACTGGAGGGTGAAGGTGAAGTACGGTGATGGGAGCGTCTGGTTTAAGTGAGGAGCTCTGGTTGTTCACCTATCAAGACCCTTGTTTTGTGAGGTTACCTCAGTTTCCTCATCTGCACGAGCATTTTGGAATTGGTGATTTCCGAGGTTCCTTCCAGCTCTATGTCCTATGAACCTATCGACGTTGAGTTATCTAACGGGCGTTCCTCAGGTGCTCTTACCTGTGTTAACAGATTCATTTAGATCTGGACACAAGCATCAGCAATTTCTTAGCCCATTGTGATATAACTAAATCTTTGAAACAATAAAGTTGCCTTATGGTGGAATTTTACTGTCATGTCAATAAAACAATATCCTTTGAAACCCAGGACAAATAATTACTAATAATTGGTGATTATTCCAACAATCATTCAGACTTTCTTAAATATTCGTTCACTTCTTAAAAGTTTCATGTCCTTGGGGGAAGGAAGTTGTGTGTGGGACCAGGATTTCAGATTCTCATCTGCCTTTGATCATTGGCTAATCTGTTCCCCCATTGTAACTTCTCACTATTGTCACTTATACATCAGGCCTAGTACAACCTGTGGTGATACCAGCCTTAGAAAGATGTTCTCCTGCCATGGAGCCTGGCCTTGGGTACTTTGATACTTGGATGCATCTGTGAACTCCTCAGTGCTGGGGGTCTCACTCTGCCCTCTCCTCCTAGAATTTCTTGTCTGTGGCCTTCTGTGAGGTTGGGGCACCTGCCCAGTGGGCTGGGGGCTGGACATTGCATAGGCACCGGTGGAGTCCCTAAGGAATGCTGTCCCTAAGGAATGCTCCTTCATACTTACTACCAAAGGACCCACTGTCTTCGAGGCCATCCTTTTGTCTCGTGCCTCCACCACAATCCTTAATTCTTAATGTGGTGCTGCTGACTCGCGCCTGCCACATGCCTCTCCCTTGTCCTTTGGGGAAGGTGCAATGTTATTTTGTGGAGATCGTATTGTTCCATGATTTGTGGCTATGTAGCATTATGGCATTCACATTCTTGTGAAAGGTGGACCTTAGTTTCCCCAAGAAGTTTGGGGTCATGAAAGGCACTGCCCAGTTTCCCACAGGTCATTGTCTAGTCTGGCCTGTTCTCTTGTTCCCCTTGGCCCAGGCTATTGTTCCTGCGCAGTACCTGTCCAATGTGGATGATGGGACCGTCCAGCTAATAATAGTGAAATGGAGTTTAAAGGCAGGGGTCTTGGGAGATCAAATGTTTCTGCTAGATGACTTTTCTGACCTCACAGAATACGATGGAATTTTTAATAAAGATTTTCTTGACACTTAAGGCCTCCTGTGTGAGGAGGAGGGGGCTTATTTTTAATAGCCTTTATAAATCAGGATCAATGAGGCCAAAATTTCTCCCAGCTAGTTGCTAGGCTGCTCTTCCCATTTGAGAATAGTGCTGGCCCAGCACTCCAACGTCTCCATCCTGGTGCCTGGGCGTGCCTGCCTGGGTGTGTCTACGTGTATGATTTCAGCAGGCTATAATTTAGAATTGATGAAACACAAATGCTTCACTGTTAGTTGATTGGAATTCTACTTTCACTCAGATTTCCCCCTTGCCCACTTTTTGTTAAAAAAAAAGGTCACATAAAAACAAAAACAACAAAAAAAAACCACCCTCCTCTCATTTTTTTAGTTTTAACTTGTTATTAAGGCAGGTGTACAGATATAAAAAGCCTAAGTCTGCAGTGTTCGCCAGTGCACGTGCCTGTTAGAGCAAGTGTAGCATTGACCCTGCCAGAGGCCTGTTTTCACCCCCTGAGATTCATCTGTGGCTCCCACCACATGACCGCCCTTCCTGAGCTGAGGGGCCTCGTTTCTCCTGTGATTGTTTGATCTGCGTGCATTTGAAACACTGAGAGATGACATGGGTTCATACTTCAGTGGTGGAACTAATTTCAGTATTTTCTTCCTCATCTTGTGGTGGCAGCTGGCAACTAACCATATGCTCTGAGAAGGATGATAAATCTTTCATCGGCGACTCCATCTACCCACCACTGTGAGCTGATGCCACATGAAGAATTCTGCTCCTGACATCTCTCCCTCAGCCTCCCAAGGCAGTCGGAGGTTTCTGTAAATTATGATTTTCTTCTTTCTGAAGATGGTTAGGTATTGAAATCAATGAATAAAATTAAAGGAGTCATTTTCATGTCAAGTGCCTAACTGTGGATCTGAATTCATCAAGCCTTGTAGGCCTTGATAAAAAAATATGGCAAGGATCCTCATTATGTCCCTTCAGAAGATGGTGACTCCATGGCCAAAGAAGGCAAACTGACCCGGCAAGATTTATTTTCTGGATTAAAAAAAATGCAATTGTGCTTGAAGCCAGCTGAATTGAATTCTTTTCAGAATGGATAAAATCTTTTTAAAAGAGGAAAATAAAAAGTGGGTGGACCCTTCCTGGGATTGTTGCTGGCACTGACTTTATTTTAATGTGATCTGGAAAAGAATATACACTGTGAAATTGCCAGATTTGCGAATGATACTCCCCCCTACTACATGGTGAGATGCCAGTACAGAGGATGTATGGCTGGAGAGCTGGTGGGGACTTCAGATAATATGGTGTGATTGTAGGCTTTGAACTAGCAAATTAGGCCTAGACATTGAGGAGTCAGTACACCATGGGCCTATGAAGATGGCGGGCCTATGAAGATGGCGGACCCGTGGAGGCTGTGCTGCCACGGCTCTCCTCTCCCTCTCTCCCTTCTCCTCTCCTCTCTCTCTTACTTTCCTCTCCTTTCTTCTCCACCCCACTTCCCTAGTCTTCTAGAACCTGGGCTCACTTTGGTGACCCTCCCCAGAGGAGGTATCTCTTTGGGTACTGCTTCTGTTTCTCCCTGTAATTGCTCCTGGCTCATTGGCCCCCAGGCAGACCACCCCAATAAATAGCCTTCTGACCTCCCTGACTCCTACTTCCAAACCCACTCTGCTGCACCCCTAATTCAGTTTAGTCCAGTCCACAGCACTTAATAAATAGGGCTGTTCCCCATTGACCATCAAATAAACTCCTGGTCCTGGCCTTCAAGGCCATCTCCCACCAAGCTTCAGCCCACATTCCCCAGCTTTGTCTCAGATGACTTCCTTCTATTTGCTCTGCCCTCGCCAGCCCTAGTCTTCTCTCATCTCCATGCCTTTGCTTAGACCATCTTTGCCTTTTGAAACCTTTCTCTTTTTTCAAGGCTCAGCTCAAGTCTCATTCTTTCTTGAAGACTTCTCTGAGCCTTCTTTTCCCATTTCTTCAAAGCCTTTGTACTTCTCACATTTTGCTCTGAATTGTATTTGTTCATCTATGTGTTTTAATACCCTTCCCAACTAGAGTAGAGGCTCTTTGCAGGCTGGGTCACGGTTGGATTTCAGCTTCTTCTCTTCAGTGCCTAGTACAGTGCTTACGGTGTGTAATCAGCGGTGATATTTTTGTTCAGAATTGAAGCCACATTTATTGAGTGAACACTATGAACTGGGCACTAGTATACAATGACAAAAGCATGCTAGTCCCTGCCCCTCAGTGAGCTTACGTTCTGTCAGAGAAAACAATGAGTACACGTGTAAATGTAAGCAAATATGTACAGAGAATCAAATACTAGTACAGATGGGTCACAGCATTTCCCAATTACAATCCTAGGGAACATATCCATTGGCACAGACATCATTCCTAGAGGGACTCATGCAAATAATGCATACCCATTGCTTGCTGCTTTTATAAGTATAACACTGTCCTTAAACCCATCTGTCTAGGAAATCAAACCTTCTGTCTCTGTCTGCCATGTGGTTAATGACTCTTGGATTGTTTTATGAGCTTTCTAGGGGCAGTAGAACATGGTAGTGGAAGCAGTTCTGGGCGGGGTATCTTAGG